TCCCTGCCTATTCCCTGCCTATTCCCTGCCTGCTCCCTGCCTATTCCCTGCCTGTTCCCTGCCTTTTCCTTGCCTGCTCCCTGCCTCTTCCCTGCCTCTTCCCTGCCTGCTCCCTGCCTATTCCCTGCCTATTCCCTGCCTGTTCCTTGCCTATTCCCTGCCTTCTCCCTGCCTGCTCCCTGCCTGCTCCCTGCCTGTTCCCTGCCTGTTCCCTGCACTTTGAGGAAGGAAAAAGGGATGACGAGGAGGACGCGACCCAAGACCAGTACGGACTGGGAGGGAGGCAGCTCCCAGCTCCCTCATCCCATTATTATCCAAAATTAAAACACAAACCCCCACATCCAGGCCCTTGAAGGGCACAGGACCCCCCCTCCGGTTCCGTTGGGCAAATATCATTGCTGGCAAGTAAAATTTGGGTCAGAAAAGCCGGATATGGATGGTCGGGGGCCACACGATCGCAGCCCGGCCCCGCACGGGATGTTCCCGAAAATCAGCGAAGGATTGGGATGAACTGGGAGGCTGGGACAAGCAAGGGATGGATGGTGGGGGTGTCCCTGTCCCCTCTGGGGTAGGGGGGGGCTCGGTGGCATTGCTGTCTGTGCCGTGAAGGACAACCTCAGCCCACGGAGCTGTTTTGGGGTGACAGGATGGCATTTTGGGGTGACAGGATGGCATTTTGCGGGGTGCCAACGTCTCTGCCTCAAAATTGGCAAACCACAAAGCCAGGCAGAGCGAGGGTGAAATGGGGGGGCTCCTCTGCTCACCCCAACAATCCCGGGAAGGTTTTTTTGGGGGGGAAGGAATCTCCTTCCCAAACAGGGAATAAACCCCACGGAGGAGCGGGGGGACGCGGCTGATGGCAGTTGGGATTGGATTTTGGGGGGGGGAAAGGAATCTCCTTCCCAAACAGGGAATAAACCCCGGGGGGGACGCGACTGATGGCAGTTGGGATTGGATTTTGGGGGGAGAAAAGGAATCTCCTTCCCAAACAGGGAATAAACCCCACGGAGGAGCGGGGGGACGCGGCTGATGGCAGTTGGGATTGGATTTTGGGGGGGGGGAAAGGAATCTCCTTCCCAAACAGGGAATAAACCCCACGGAGGAGCGGGGGGACGTGGCTGATGACAGTTGGGATTGGATTTTGGGGGGGGGGAAAGGAATCTCCTTCCCAAACAGGGAATAAACCCCACGGAGGAGCGGGGGGACGTGGCTGATGGCAGTTGGGATTGGATTTTGGGGGGAGAAAAGGGGCAGCGAGGTTGGTCCCGCTGCAACTTAAGGACACCCGAGACCCCCGGAGCGACCCGATGAGGATGATGAGGATGAGGATGAGGATGGAGATGGGGCTGGCGGGAGGAGGGGGGGAGGTTGGGGGTCTCCCCGGATCCCCGGTGCTTGGCACCCGCTCCCGGTCTCTTACCGAAGCCCAGGACCGGCGTTGCCTGCTGCAGGCAGGACGGAGCCTCTTCCGTCTTCATACCGGGGGCTACGGGCGGAGAGAAGCGTTAAGAACCGGGACCGGTCGCCTCCCCCCCCGGGTCGAGGTTTCCCGCTGCCTCCCGCTTCGTTTTCCGCCTCCCGGAGCTCCGTTTAAACGAACGGCAACGAAATCCCGGTGGCGGAGGCTCCCACCCGCTCCTCTCCTCCCGGTCCCGTTGGGGTTAAGCCCGACCTTGCCCCCGGTAGCACCGGAACCCACCCCGGGGGCTGCACCGGGGGATGCGGCCCCCCCCAAAGTCCCGTCCCGTCGTATCCCTACCCCCGACGGGTCCCGGGGGCTCCCGGTGCCGCTGTCGCAACCGGGCTCGGTGCCGGTCCCTCCGCTTATAGACGGGGCGCACACCCGTGTCCCGTTCCCCCCCCCTCCATCCTCCCGGGACATCCCCGCCGGGCGGTTTCCCGGTTCCTCATCCCCCGCCCGCCCCGTCTACTCTTGGGCTACTTACCGGGATAACGATACCGGCACCGGTACCGGCGGGG